TCTACCAGGGTGCATGTTTATCTGTTTCCTTACATACATCCCTGAGGCCTTTAGGCAGGACATACCACCTCACATTCCTCACACTGAGGCCTGGAGATGACAGGGGTTGCTATCATTCACTGAGGTACACATCAACACCCATTACTGTTCACTCAGGTATAACTCTGGTTTTGGTCTCTAAATCTGTCCCTCCTGGGCTTGGGTTTGGCCCTGTCTTTAGTCCCAGCCTTAGCTGAGTCCATGCCAGGGCCTGACAGGACATGGCATACCTTCTAGAAGACACTCTTCTGTTCTCTGAGCCACACGCGGGCCCTGCTGTGGGAGTACACATGGATTTCTGACAAGGGCACAGAACAGATCTCCCAAAGCACAGAGGCCAGAGCCCCCCCCTCTGCACTTCTCAGAAGGGCATCCTCTGTGGGATACTGGGTTCTGTGTAGGGCAAAGCAATTCCATGCAGAACCACTCCTCTAACTTCAAGGACCATCCCACCCTGCACACAACAGTACCACCTCTGCCCAGGTCTGCAGAGGAAACATGAGAGGAGAGGGTAGGGGTGAAGAGAGGGCAGGGGTGAGGAGAAGCCAGGGGTGACGTGAAAGGAACCAGAAAACGCCTCCTCCTCCTGAGTCACTGCAGCAAGCTCTCAAATCAAGGCAGTCAGAGAGTAAAGGCCAGTGAACTCTGAGTTGTATTGATAAAAGTAGTTCATTTTAAAGAGTTATTTATTTTTATTTATGTATATGCTCAGGGGCCAGTCTAATGAGGGAATTTTCTCAGTTAAGGCTCCCTCTTCCCAAATGACTCTGGCTTGCATCATGTTGACATAAAACTAGCCAGCCCATCCAGGTATCTGCAGAGGCCAGAAGAGGGTGTCAGATCCCGTGGAACTGAACTTACAGTAAGAAGACCCAAGTGTACACACACACACACACACACACACACACACACATGCATGTGCATATTCTCTCTCTCTCCTTCCTTCCTTCCTCCCCTCCTTCCCTCCTTCCCTCCTTCCCTCCTTCCCTCCTTCCCTCCTTCCCTCCTTCCCTCCCTCCCTCCCTTCCTCCCTCTCTTCCTCCCTGCCTCTTTCCCTCTGTCTCTGTCCCCATTCCTCACTCACAGGGCAAGCATGATGTCTATATGTCTATCTGTCTTCTGCGCTCTTGTGGCCAAGTCATGATGTTATAGGTAGACCATCAGTGATGAACACTCAAAGTTCGTAGCCTATTAAAAATCTTTCTTGTGGCCAGCTGGGACCATACCAAAGTGTTCAGAGATCTAGGTGTTGCCCTAAGCGTCCAAAACATGAAGTTTTTAAGGGCAGAGACCTTGTCCAGGCACCTCACTCAGTAGCAGCAGGAGGGCCTTCGCACTGTGAGCAGTTTGAAGCAAGCAGTTTTAAGAGAAGGTAAAGTAAGTGGTTAGCCAGCCTGAGGGGGTTCCTGCACAAATAGGCAGCTAAGGTGAATGGTTAGCTGCAGAAGGTTCCACACAATCGAGCAGTCTTAACAAAGGCTAAGTTAGCTAGCACATCCTGACCTTTGCTTTCTAGAATACAGTTGGGTAGTTATCCTCAGGACTCACCATCGAGGAGATAAGATTCTAATTAAATCTGGAAAACAGGCTTAGCAAGAATACAAGATGGTAGAGCCTCTGAACTGCTTTGCCCCATCACAATGGAGGGATGAAACTTTGATCCAGAGACTTGGCTATGTGCATTTCTTTTGCCTCAGCTCCAGTACATGGTTGTTCTACTACAGGGACCCCAGGCAATGAGGCCCTATAGAGAAACACCATTGCTCAAAGGACTGGCTGTGGACAAGACTGTACCAAAGCCTCCTTGTCAGTTCTCTGGAGCAGTTCCCTCAACAGCCTCCAGGGGGAGCCCATATGCAACAGCCCAGCCTGCCTGGGTTGTCCAGCCTATCCAAACAGGACAGGACCAGCTAAGAAATGAATGCCTCTGAATTCCTGGGCCCTCTAAGAAGGGTCTGTGGACTTCATGAGTTGACTTTACCAAGTGTGACCTCATCTGGGGAAGAAGGAACCCTTGTGATTGTGTGTGGACGGATGTGATCAGTCAACCGGGGATCCAGAGAAGCCCTGTGTGCCTGAGGCCAGATTATGGAGAAGAGGATATAAAACTTTCTACTTACTGTTTTGCATTCCATGTTCAATAAAGGAAAACGTTAAATGTGTCCTGGCTTTTTCATAGCACAGGCTTCTGCAGTCTGTCTCCCCCTCCCCCCTCTCTGTCTCTACAGTCTGTCTTCTTGCCCCCTCTCACTCCTCTGTGTGTGTGTGTGCGTGTGTGTGTGTGTGTGTCCGTCCGTCCATCTGTCCGTCTGTCTGTGTCTGCCTATCTATCTGTCTGTCTCTCTGATTGTGTCTGTCTATTTGTCTGACTCTCTGTATGTGTATGTCTGTACCTGTATGTCTCTGTGTGTGTGTATGCATATGTGTGTGCATTCATGTGTGTGTATCTGTCTGTCTGTCTGTGTATGTCTGTCTGTGTATGTCTATCTGTGTATGTGTATCTCTCTCTCTCTCTCTCTCTCTCTCTCTCTCTCTCTCTCTCTCTGTGTGTGTGTGTGTGTGTGTGTGTGTGTGTGTGTGTGTGTGTGTCACTATACAAAGGCCCAGGTAGAGGACCATGTCCCCTCTGGGATCTGAGGGTCAGAGGCACACAGGAACGGGGCAACAGTGAAGAGAGGAGCTGAGAGTCTGGGGAAAGACACTTGCTATGAAAGCTTTCAGATAAAACTCTCTTCTAGAAGCACGGGAGCCCGATTCCCACAGCTGGCCTCATCCTTCTGCTTTTCCTAGCAAAGCTCCTAGAACATCTCAGCCCACAAGGAAAGCAGCAGCTGTATCTGTAGTTCAAGTTCACTTTCATGCCAGCTAGATGGAAATTACCCTACCACTGAGAGCCAGTCCCTCACCAAGCAGGGATGGAACAGTGAGCAGTTCTGTCCCAAAGCCCCTAAATCACAGATACAAAAGGGAAGCTCCTGGAGACTCTGCACACCTCATTCCAGAACCACAAACTGAAGTCCCAGAGAGCCAAGCGCAGACCACTGCACGACAAGCTGGTGAACTTGGAGGGAAATGCACCTTGGCTTTGCCACTTGGTTCTGGCCCAGGCTGCTGCTGGGACTCTCTTCTCCATCGGCCACTTTGATACTTCGGGAGTAGACAAATGAGTTTCCGGGAAAAAGGAAAAGATGTTGGGCAGTCTCTCCAGCTGTGGGGTTGGGGCTGGCAGGATGCTATGCAGCCTAGGCAAGACTCCCAGCTCCGGGGTCCAAATGGCCAGCAGTGGCCAAGGTCGTGGTGGTCAGCGACTTCTCCCATTGGTCACTAGACTATCTGTTTTCAGACAAGAGCCCCTGGAAAGCCACAACACAGGCGCTTTTATTCCGGTTGCTGAGGTGCCAGCCAGGGGACAAAAGGGCAAAAGAGGCCCCTGAGGTGTGGGTTTGTCCTCTCAGAACGTGGGACCGGAAACAACCTCCACCTACCCCTATCCACACTGTGCACATGGGAAACAAAGGCCCAGAGAAACCGCCAACCCAAAATGTGTCGTTGCCAGGGGCAACCTGGACACAGCGCTGACCAGCCTGGGAAAAAAGCTGTTATTCTCAGCGGGGGTGGGGGTTTGTTTGTTTTCGTTTATTATTTAATTTATTTATTTACTTACTTATTTTTTTATAAAACATTGGGTCAGATCTGATTTTTAAAACACTGCTCCAGGACATGGTGTTGCCTGAACATCACTTGAAAAGGCAGATGCAGGCACAGAGGAGTCGTGGATTCATTTGGAGAGAAACTATTGTGAGACACTGGTACAGGACTTCTACATCACTAACAATGAGTTTCTCTGTCCTGTCTCTGTCTGAAGAAAGGTTTGGCCTATGCTCCTGGTAGATGAACATGGCCGCCACTCCTAGCTCCCAGAAGAGACCAGAACACAGCTCACCTTGGGCCTGTGCCATGCCAACTGTGCCAGGGGCACATGAATGCAATGCCAGGCAGGCGTGCCAAAAACACAAGAGAGCATGGGCAGCCATGTAGAAAAGATAAACAGATAAGCAATGAGGCGGTCATACAAGGCAACTGGTTGGCACGGGCTATGGCCTCCTGCTCCTGCCTGAGTTCTGAAAAATGCAGAAAAAAATACATTTAGAAAAGAAATTCTGGATTCTGATGATCATTCCCATTGTCTGAGCAGCAATCTACAGGGTGTCCTTACTGAAGTCGGTCTCTGACCCTGTTTTCTTTAGCCCTGAGATGTGGGAGCTGGGGTTTTGAGGGATCAATAGGAGCTCACCAAATTAGGGCTCAGCTACTCCTCAGGGGCCAACTGACCCTGTGAGATAGTACAGTCTAGAGAGACACCACTGAACCTGGAGAGCAGTGTGTCCACCGTGGGACTAGACTGTAGCACAGGAGCAGAGAGCACTTGCCTTGTAGGTGCGAGGACCGTGTCTCGTGCCCACCACAAAAGCAAGTCTGCTGTGGACAGGATTCCATGTATTTGATACCCAACAGAAAGAAATCTGGATGGTGATGTGGTTTTTCTCTGGGCGTCAAGGTCTCCCTTGAGATGTGCTTCCAGAGAAAGTCAGCTGGCAGGAGCAGAGAGGCCTGCGTATGAACCTTAGCTTCTCTGTGTGGCACTGGGGAAATGTCTTTCCCCCTCTGTGCCTGAGCAGCCTGTGTTTACAAGAATAATTCCAATGACGAATTGCTCCTCGTCCACCAAACACTGTTGCTTTGGTGTCACGCTTTACGCACAGTCAGCACTGTGTGGTCCAAGCAGCTGAGACTCAGTGAGGCCAGAGACTTGTCCCATGATGGTCCAGTAAGAGTTGTGGAACCACGAGGCATCTGCCTGGATCTGCCGTGAGCACACTCGTGGGAACATCCGAGTGGAAGGTCTGGTGTGAGGCATCTGGTGCATGGTCTCCCATGCTGCTGTGCGACCCACAGGTATCTTGGGGTCACCGATGAAATGACTGTCCCCATTTTGTGAGGGAGAATTCCAGGTCTTCCAGCACTCTCTGCGTTCTCTCCGACTCCTTAGTCTACACTGCCTGATTGGAAGAAAGACCAAGTCAGTATAACTCACCCTACATCCATCCTGGAGCTGGCAGTGAATAAAAGCCCACATTGACCATGTTACCGTCCTCCAGATGTTCGTTGCCATGTTACCTATTCCAGCTATGACTGGAAATCATATAACTGTCTGGTGACATGAAATGGTAAAGTAAGACAGGATGCACCTACCAGCTAGAGTCACACAGTAGCCGTTAGGGAAAGCATCCCAGTCAAGCCCGGTGGCACACACCTGTGACTTGGCCACTTGGAGATCCATGGCAGGATTGCTTGAGCCAAGAGTTCAGGGCCAGCTTGGCCCTATCAGAAGGAACAGAAAGAGGGAGCAAAGAAGAGAGAGGGGGCAGAAGGGAAAAAAGGAAGGAAGGCTGACTAGAAGGGAGAGAGGAAGGTCACATGGACACAGCGTGGGGTGCTGGGATGGTTACCATTTTCTTCCTCTTTCCTGGCATTTACCACATAAACAGCAGCCTGACAATTGGCAGCAATGTCGCAGAGTCCCTCTGAACTTCATGATACACCATAACATTGTTTGTATACTTTTTATCAATTAACTCCAAGTACTTTCTGGAGAATTCAGGAGTGAACGTACTGGTTGGGGGCTCCAAGAAAACCACACTGACGCTGACACGGGAACAAGAGCAGCAGCTGCTTTGTAGACCAGCAACAAAAGAGACCTGCTAAGCACACCGGTCGGCACAACTGTGCAGAGAGGGCATGTCTTTATTGATTTACACCAGGACCCACAGGTCCTCCCATAAACAAAATTCATTGCATCCTTAAACAAAACAAAGAGAGACTGCAGCATGCAAGCCTTGTCTGAATTACCTCGTGCACAATTCATGAAGTGGCTCTTTCAGCCAGGCCTGGTGGGGCGACTTGGGGGAGCCAGCTCCCCCTCTGCCAGGGCCTGAGACCCAGAACAAAGATCCAAGATCCTAGGCTGGCCAGGTGCTGTGGCCCTCAGGACTCGGATTTAGTGGTGGGTTTATCTTCATCCTGGCTGAGATCACTGAGTGATAGCTAAGATACAGGAACAGCTTGGAAGTACCCAGAGCATCAGGGGAGGTGCCAGGGCTCAGTGGCAGCTGCTCTGAGGCCCCCACGGCTCCCATAGGTGCTGGTGAAGGACAAGCAGTGCAAGACTACAGGATGCTGAGACCTGCTGACAAAGTTTGCTGACCATAACCTTTTATCAATGTTTACTGGACCTTAACCCCAGAAGGACAGAACTGATGCCACTGTCCTAAGCCTTCAGCTTACTATCCCAATTCCCTAAAGTTGTATTTGGTGTTCCCCTAGTGGTAACCAGCCTGCCCTGGTGTTTCTCCCAGAGCACACCACCTGCTTCTTCTGACTCTGACCCTATGACCACCACTTTCCACCTGTGGAATGCACCCCATCTTTCCCTGTTTCCAACCCCACCACCTCACCTTCCTCAGGAGTAACCAGATGCCCCAACTTTTCTGAAACTATCCCCTTCTCAATAACTCCATCCTGATGTGTCTATGTGTCATTAAATTATCTTTTGCTGGCCATTAACCAGAGCCGCCAGAAGCACAATTAGCATCTCAGCGATGGAAGAAAGCCCATTCCCCTGAGGCTATTAGAGACTGGACCACCCCAGAGTCTTGGATAGTATTGGTAAGGATCTGGGCATTGGAGCTTTGAAAACATCACATGCTTCTAAAGGACAGTCTCAGAGGGTCGTGAGGGGTGGATTTTTAGGGGAAGCCTCTTGCCCAGGCATCCTTGCACCTACCAGAATTAGAAGGGAAAGGAAAATATTTATAGTCTTGGCCCCGGTGAGATAAGCCAAGATTGTCCATGCCCAACTGGAGTGCCTGGGCTCCCCGCTCCAACTGAATTTATGTGAGGCTCAACCCTAGCCTCTGGGGCAATGTAAGAAGGGTGGATTGGGGGATGGCCCACTGCAAGACACAACTTAGGGAACAGAGCATGACATGTCCAGGTTGGGTGGTTTCTGCCTCACCAAAGGTCGTATACATTGCATTTCATCTTCGGGAACATGCCCCAGGGCCAATTTCAGGGTATATGGTAATCTAAATAAAAGAGGGGCATGAATCCTTTGAGCCAGGCACTGTCCAGACTCTACCAGCTCCTTCTGACCCATGGCTCTTGGAAGTCCTGGCCCCTGGGCTAGCAGGAAGCTTTTCTTCCGGGTTTTCCTGCTCTGCTCACTGAGCCCAGGGCTTCCCAGGAGTGGCTTCCTTGATGACGGTGATAAGTCAGCCTCAAGACAGGTGTGACATCTCCAGCCTGGTGGGTGAGTCCACCTCCACATTCGTCAGATCATATACCTCCTGAGGGCTAGACACCATCCTAGACCTGCCTGGAATCACCCTGATGGAGATGACAGATGAACTCCTTACCCAGAGAGACCAGGTGACCAGACGGCCAGAGAAACAACAACTGCACAAATAGAAAAGTGAGACTGGACCAGATCCAGACTGGAATGCAGGTGCCTAAACTGCAGCATCCACCCGCTGCTGGGTGGTCAGGAAGCTGGAGCCCACAGCATGAGTCCAGACAGTTTGCCAGAGAAGTTGGGAGTCACTCTGAGCAGCTGCCTCAAGTCCAAGAGAAGATCCACAGAGGCCACAGCTGAGCCAGACCTGATTCCTCCTTCAGCACTGTTGGACCAAAGTCCCCTGCCTTTGTTCTCAAGGCCAGGCAGAGCTGGAACATAGGCTGCCTTGACTTTCCAGGTGCTGAAATGATGGCTGTGGGCTGTGATTTCCAAGCAGGCTGTCCCAGAAGGCTTTAGGGGAACTCAGGCAAGCTCTGGTGCCTGGGCCACAGTGTACCTGGTGGGTTAGAATACACACAGAGAGGGTGGCATAATATAGGCTAGAATTGCTTATGTAACTAGATACGGGTACCCCAACAGTGGTATTCTGCACAATGAGGAGGCTGAATCAGTAGTGTCTCATCAGTCCCTGAAAGTGGATGTCTCAGCAGCTCCAATTCAGCACTGAAGGCCTGGCAGCTTCCCGGAGAGCATATGGTCACTGTGGTGGTTTGAACAGGAATGGCTCCCATAGATTCACGTGTATGGATGCTTAGCCTTAGAGAATGGCATTATTAGGAAGTGTGGCCTTGCTGGAGGAAGTATGTCACTGTGGAGGCGGGCTTTGAGCTCTCCTATGCTCAAGCTACATCCAATGACACAGGCTCCTTGTGCTGCTCGTAGAACTCTCAACTCCTCTAGCACCATGCCTGCCTCCACTCTGCCATGTTTCCCATCATGATGATAATAGACTGAACTTGCAAAACTGCAAGCCAGCCCAAAATAAATGTTTTCTTTTATAAGAGTTGCTGTGGTCATGGTGTCTCTTCACAGCAATGAGAACCCTAACCAAGACAGTCATCATGTTGGGAGGCCAGAGGAGCTCCAATCTGGTGTCAGTGGAGGATAGTACCATGATATGCAGCAGCAGCAGCAGCAGCAGCAGCAGCAGCAGCAGCAGCAGCAGCAACACACTTACCAGCAAGAAGGGAAAGGCACATAGAGAGTGATGCTGCCTCCGCCTTGGTCTTCTTTTCCTCTGTTTGTCAGAAGGTGCTGCTCACCCAGAGGAAGTGTTTCCTCCTCACAGTTAGTCCTTCCAGGAATGCTCCTCAGACCTCTCACAGGCATGTCCCAATTAATTCTGGATCTTAATCAATCAAGCTGACAACGAGGTCAACCGTTACAGGCCTATTCCTATTCACCTAACAACTCATCTTCTCACGCCATGTTTAAGTTCCAGATGAAGACAACAGCAAAGGTATATTCTACCTAACATGAGACAGCTATGCCGTGTACAACCAAACCCACTAAGTCTAGACTAGAACATTCCTTGAGGAATGCTTAACTTTCTAATATGTCTTGGTTTAAATATAATATAGGCTTAATAACACTTAATTGTTGTATAATCTCAATGAATAAAAAAATAAAAGGTAGGAGAACAGGAGATAAGAGAAAGCATAAGCATCTGTTTAATAAATATACACATATACATAGACATATTATTAATAAAGTGGGCCGGAAACACTCGTGACCGCATCAATCCTCCTTTTTATAACTGGTCACATGACCAAAGTTGGTATTTATAAATAACTACCTTTGTGAACTACCCAATCTGTATTTCCTCCACCCTCAGCAAGTACCTCAGCAGGGCTCAATTCTTTTACCTGAAAGGGTATCCCATACCTTCATTCCCGAACGATCTGTACCCTTTGTCATCCTCCTGGATTGAGTTGTAGCTGACCATCATCTTTAATCATAGGACATTGCCACACCGAGATGCCCTAAAGCAGCAGTTCTCAACCTGTGGATCGTAACCCCTTTGAGAATGAATAACCCTTTCACGGGGTCACCTAAGACCAACAGAGAACACAGATATTTACACTACGATTCATAACAGTAACAAAATCACAGTTATGAAGTAGCAACGGAATAATTCTGACTGAGGTCACCACAACATGAGGAACTGGACTAGAGGGTTGCAGCATTAAGAAGGAGGAGAACCACCACACGGATCTCTAATAGTCTAGACATGCTATTTCTTGATTCCTGATTCTGGAGGGCCAGAGTGCTGTCTGGGCTTTCTCAGTTAACTCAGAGCCGAATATATCAGGCTCAGAAAGGTCTGATTGTTTCATTTTTCCCAATGTACACCTATCCTAGTAAAAGGCTTAGGTCCCCTTGGTGAAAAGTGGGAGTCAGGTTAACAGTAAAAAGTGTTCCATATTGCAGCAAGGATCTCCCTGAAGGGACCAGGACCCAGCGTCCTCTTCTCTCAAGGCTTTCTGGGTCTGGAAACTGGCTTGTCTGGAAATTGGTTGCAGAGCCATAACTCTCTGTGCTATGAAACAAAGTGGCCTTTGTTTGTTTGCTATGCTTATGCAGAGAGAGCAAGAACTTAGTAGGCATCCTATCTGTCTCCCTTCTGGGAACACCATGATTAAATTAACCAGCGTCAATGGGCTCTGTGAGGCAGACATTGTCAGCATCGCTTTGTCTGATACAGGAAGTATACCCACCTTTGGAGACCCAGTGAGTGCTATCACTTGGCCCTTGCCACTCCAGGATCCCGTCAGTTCCATTGCTTTCAAGTTATCCAACTGAGTAGCAGTAGCTTCCACTGTAAGCCCTGGCATGCTGAGAAACGCAGAGGTCTCCAGCTGTGCTGGGTCCTGCCTCCAAGTCTGGTTCCGGTAGTAGCAGTGAAGGACTGTGGCTTCTGGACCCTGCCCTCGCGGAGGACCAGTTTTGATAAGGCAAAGCTACTCCAGCACTGCAAGCCTTCGTATCCATTCACTGGCTAAGACAAGAGGTACCAGGAACATTCATTTCATTCACATTAGGCCATCTTTTGACCCATACTTCAGCCAACCAATCAAATAGGTTGTTGTTGGTACCTCGTTTTAACAGCGTGAACTGCAATACCAAATCCAGACTCAATGGTCCTCTTATGAGTCTCTGTGTCATATTCGATAATTCCTCTCCTTTCCAATCAATGTCTTCATTTTATTTTTTGTTTGTTTGTTTGTTTGTTTGTTTGTTTTTTAACATTTAGACAGGATCTCACTATGTAGTCCTAGCTAGCCTAGAACTTCCTAAGTAGACCAAGCTGGCCTCAACTTTAGAGAGATCCTTTTGCCTCTGCCTCCCAAGGGTGGGATTAAAGGCATGCACTACAATGTATGGCCTTGGTGCCCTCATTTAATTGTCAACCCCTGTCAAAGCTAAGACTTAAGGTTGCATTTGAGACAGCCAATTGTATGATGAAGGCTTGTGTTTGCATTCTGAGTCTGATGGCTGCTGGGGAGAAGGTTTCCTCCAGGACTCTCAGAAACCTGTAGCTTGATTATGCACACCTGAATCTGGAAGTTCTCATCTCTAAACAGAATGTTGTCTTTGTTGCTTTAACCAAAGATACTGGAAGCAACCAGCCAGCATCATTACATGCCTTAAGTTTTCCAGAAATGTTTGAAAGTTTTATATGTAGAATTGCTAAATTCATTGATGTTCCCCAAGAGGTGAAGTAGGAGCACCAGATGCATTTACCTTACAGAGTTCTTTAAACGGTTCATAGCACAAGTCTCCAGCGTGTTCCATGCTACCAAAAGACTTCAAGTTTAGTTGAGTTGGAAAGTCAGCTCCAGATACTACCAAGCTCAAACAAATCCTTCAGTTCTGTTTTCTCTAGAAACACTGTAAATACATGTACATTAGGCAGAGTTCTCTTGTAAGGGTCCAAAAATCACTGAAAGAAGACCCCAGACTCAGATAGTATTCAAAAACAAAGAGTGTTTATTCTGCAAAAACAACCAGCATACAGGGGTTCAACCAGTCTTTGAAATGGTGACCCCAGACAAAGGCATGCAGGCCTTCTTATAGGGAACTGGGGGAACTCTCTAGAAGGATTAGGTAAGCTAGAATTTCATTGGTAGATGTTGGGGGCGGGTCACAGGTGATCAGTGGTCTACATTCCTATGTCATAAACATTCAACCATGTGATAAAATGGGCTGCCCAGCTCAGATATCCCATTCTGAGATAAGATATTTCCCCAGTTTTGTGGTTCTCTCTGGCTGTTCTTTGTGGAAGGGTTTTATGATCTTACTCTGGATTTTATGGTCTGTACCCAAAGAAGGTGTCTTATGACTTAGTTTCTGGGACTTATGGTCTATTTCTAAAGCTGGATGCCTTACGGTCTTTTTAAAAATCAGGTCTGGTTCTCAAAATGGAGACAAATGGGGTTTATAGTACCCTTTCACTCTGGTGTGTGTGTGTGTGTGTGTGTGTGTGTATGTGTGTGTGCATTATAAAAGGACACTTGCTAGAACAGCTTACACACTAGGAGATGAATAGTTCAGCTATGGCCATCTGCACACCAAAGGGGCTGAGAACTGGGTACTTGGATAATTTGGCAATAGCAGTTTGGCAATGATGACCTGACAGTTTCTGAGACCGTTGCTGGTCTTCAGTCCATGTTGGAAAGTACAATAGGCTGTGGACTGATGCCAAGAAGGACAGTGGTAACAGCAAAGGGGACAGCTGTACTCACCAGCAGGAAGTAAATATAAGCCCAGCTGCCCTGCACTAGTTGCTTGCTGTCCCCCAGCTCCATTGTCCGGCCATTCCTCCAGCCCCCACCAGGCCCACTGCACAAGGAACATCCAGACTTGCTACACCAAGAACATCCAAGGCTGCCCACAGGAGGCCTGCCACACTGGAGATATCCAGATTAGGCTCACGTTCCTGATACCTTCCACACCAGGAACATCCAGGGACAACCAGATGGCTAAAGGCCCACATAAGAACACAAGATCCAGACCAATACACACCCTCAGAGCAAAGCTATCTGGTTCTAGCAAGCCCTGGATATCCTAACACAACCAAAGAACAAGAAAATGACCTTAAATCCAACCTTATAAAAATTATAGATGCCTTTAAAGAGAAATGAATAAATCTCTTAAAGAAATACACAAAAATGCAATTAAATGGGTGAAGGAAATGAATAAAACTGCTCAAGACCTGAAAATGGAAATAGAAGCAATAAAGAAAACACAAACTAAGGGAATCCTGGATATGGAAAAGCTAAGGAGGAGAATAGGAACTACAGATGCAAGCATTTACCACAGAACACAGGAGGTGGAAGACATCAGGTAAAGAATGATGATAGAAAAAAATGATACAATGTAAATAAATAAAATAACCAATAAAAATAAAATAAAAATCAAATTTGCCATATGAATAAGAAAAAACGATACACTAGTCAAAGAAAATGTTAAATCTAAAAATTTCTAGATACAAAACATCCACAAAATCTAAGATACTATGAAAATATCTAACCTAAGAATAGAAGACGTTGAAGAGTCCCAGCTCCAAGGACCAGAAAATATTTTCCACAAAATTTGCCCAACCTAAAGAAAGAGATGCCTATAAACATAGGAGCATACAGAACACCAAATAGATTAGACCAGAAAAGAAAACACTCCTGCCACATAATAATCAAAATACTAAATCTACAGAACAAAGAAAGACTATTAATAGCTGCAAGGGAAAAAAGCCAAGTAACATACATAGGTAGACCTATCAGAATTACACCTGACTTCTGAACAGAGAATCTAAAAGCTAGAAGAGCCTGGACAGATAGATGTCTTGCAGTCTCTAAAACACCACAGATGTCAACTTAGACTACTATACACAGCAAAACTCTCTATCACCATAGATGGAGAAAACAATATACTCAAAGACAAACCCAGATTTAAACAATGTCTATCATAAATCTAGTCCTAGAGAAAATTCCACCCAAGAAAGTTAACAACACGCAAGGAAACACGAGAAATAAACAATTCCACACAAGCAAAAACAAACATCAAAATAACAGGAATAAACAATCATGGGTCATTAACATCTCTCAACATCAATAGACTAAATTCCCCAGTAAAAAGACATAGGCTAAGGGAGTGGATGCAAAAACAGGATCCATTATTCTGCTGCATACAAGAAACACACCTCACCAATTAAGATAGATATTATCTCATAGTAAAGGGCTGTAAAAATTTTTCCAAGCAAGTGGACCCAAGAAGTAAGCTGGAGTACCCATTCTAATATCTAATAAAATAGACCTTCAACTAAAATTAATCAAAGGACATGGGAAAGGACATTTCAAACTCATCAAAGGAAAAATCCACCAAGATGTCTCAATTCTGAACATCAATGCTCTAACTACAAGAGCACCCAAATTGGTAAAAGAAACATTAATAAAGCTTAAACCACACATAAAATACCACATTAATTATGGGGAGATTCAACACCCCATTCTCACCAACAGGTCTTTGAGACAGGAAACTAAACAGAGAAATAATGAAACCAACAGAGGTTATGAATCAAATGGACCCAACGGATATCTACAGAACATTTCACCTAAACAGAAAAGAATATACCTTCTCAGCACCTCACAGAACCTTCTCTAAAATTGGCATATAGTTCACCACAAACCAAGCCTCAACCGTACAAGAATATTGAAATAACTCCTTGTATCCTATCAGACCACCATGGACTTCAACAACAACAGAAACAACAGAAAGCCTACAAACTCATGGAAACTAAGCAACTAACTCAATGATCACTGGGTCAGAGAAGAAATAAAGAAATTAAATACTTTCTATAATTCAATGAAAATGAAGGCACAACATACCTAGACTTAAGGGATATAATGAAAACAGTGGTAAGAAAAAAGGTCATAGCACTAAGTGCCTCCATAAAGAAAGTAGAGAGTCCTCATACTAGCAATTTAAAAGTACACCTCAAAGCTCTAAAACAAAAAGAAGCAAACACACCCAAGAGAAGTAGATGGCAGGAACCAATCAAAACCAGAGCTAAAATCAATAAATTAGAAACAAAGAGAACAATATAAGACTCAATGAATCCAAGAGCTGGTTCTTTGAGAAAATTAAAAGATAGACAAACCCTTAGCCAAACTAACTAAGAGGCAGAGAGGCAGTATCCAAGTTAACAAATTCAGAAGTCAAAAGGGAGACATAACAACAGACACTGAGAAAATTCAAAGAATCATTGGGTCTTACTTGAAAAGCTTATACTCCATAAAATTGGAAAATCTAAAAGAAACGGATGGTTTTCTAGATAGATACCACTTATCAAAGTTAAATCAGGATCATGTTAACTGTGTAAATAGTCCTATAACTCCTAAAGAAATAGAAGTAGTCAATCAAAGTCTCCTCCCCAACCACCCAAAAAAAAGCCCAGGGCCAGATGGTTTCAGTGCAGAATTCTACCAGACCTTTAAAGAAGAGCTGATACCAATACTCCTCAAACTACTCCGCAAAATAGAAATAGAAAGAACATTGTCAAACTCATTCTATGAGGCTACAGTCACCCTGATACTGAAACCACAGAAAGACTCAACAAAGAAATAGAATTTCAGACCAATTTCCCTTATAAACACTGATGCAAATATACTCAATTAAATGTTCCAAACTAAATCCAAGAATACATCAAAAAGTTTGTCTACCATGATCAAGTAGGCTTCATTCTAGTGATGCAGGGATGGTTCAATATACAAAAATC